CACACACACACACACACACACACACACACACACACACACACGCACACACACATACACACACACAGGAACAGAAAGCATAACAATGGAGAAAAGGGCATGGAACAGACATTTTCTTGTGGTGTGGGAGCTGAAACCAGAAGGTGTTGCTCTCTTCCACCTCAGCTGAGAAGCAGTGGATCAGGCAAGTCAAAATTTGCCCCAGCTGTGCGTGGTGGCCCACACTGCTAACCCCAGCACTTGGGAGGCTGAGGCAGGAGGATCGCTGTGAGTTTGAGGCCAGCCTGGACTACAAAATGAGTTCAAGGCCAGTCTGAACTACATAGCAAAACCCTGTCTCAAAAAAACCAAAAATTAAAATAAAATTTGCCCCACGCAGGCAGAGAGAGGCTGCTTTTGCTGTTTTATTTATTTATTTAGGTACCAGGGATTGAACTCAGGACCTTGCGCTTTTGAGGGAGGTGCCAGAACCACTGAGCTAAATCCCAGGCTCTGCTTTTGCTGTTTTAAGTGGCTTCCAAGAATAGTGCTAAAGGGCTGGGGATTTAGCTCAGTGGTTTCACCACCTGCTGCACAAACGAAAGGACCCGAGTTCGATCCCCGATACCAAAAAAAGAATAGTGCTAAAGCTGGATGTGGTGGGGCATGCCTGTACTCCCAGAACTCAGCAGGCTGAGGCAGGAGGATCGAAAGTTTGAGGCCAGGCTACATAGTGAGTTCAAGGCCAGATTGAACTACTACAAAGTTAGACCTTGTCTCAAAAACCAAACCAAAAAAAAAGAACATATACCTACTGTGAGTGGGAAGCAACCCCGTCTACCGTCAACCCCATCTGCCTGTCTACCTGTCTATCATGTACCTATCCTATCCCTAGTGGCCCATTCTGCAGCTTCCTCAATGACAAAGGCGCCCCACTCCGACCCTCGACCGCCACCTGCTGGACGTATGTAGAGTCACAGGTGGTGGCGTCCTCTGCGTGATTTTACCAGGTTGATTTTTTGCCTCCCTCTTCCTGCGGGGATGGGGACTCACCTGCCGTCCTTTTGTCCTTCCAGGAGCACCTGTAACAGGGGTCTATTGGGAGGGATGGTCTGTAGGATGCTGCCATCCGTGCTCACGTACCCGATGGCCCACTGCCCCAGGCGGGTGCAGCTGGGCCGGAAGATGTAGCTGGAGGGAGAAAGGTGGGCGGTGTGTGTGTGTGTGGGGGGGTCACCTCTGCCCCTCTGATGGAGATGCTAAGTTAGACAATAGCAGGCAGCCAGAGAGGGACAGGCCCTCAAGGGACACCAGGATTTCGGTTGGAGTCGGATTTCAGGAGCCCCTGGCCTGCAGACCTCCCTATGGAGACCCAGGCGGCTGGAGGCTGTACTGAGATTAGCACTACTGGTCCTACTGGGCCCAGATAGGCATCGGGCCCCTGGGCTGGCAAGCAGAACATCTGGGCCCCTGCTCTGTCACCTTTGATCCTCCCACCTTACAGATTACAGATAAGCTGTGGTCATGGCGCACACCACCTACCCTCCGTCCGCCCTCGCTTGCCTGCCGGAGCCACAGCACCTGAGTGACTGTACTTGTGATCCTGCAGGCCGATGGCAGTTTGATCCCCATACCCACTTTGTGACTCTGCGGTATAAATTACCACAGACAAAGTGCCTCAGCGGAAACCCAGGAGCTATTCTCCTTCTTATTTCCCATAAAACTCTCCTATCCTCCTCCTTTGACTTCATTCCTCGATGTTGTGAGACCAGGAACTTGCACATCTGACATCTAGGAAGCTGACTCCGGCTCTGCTGATGAGGGCATTTCAGGGACCCTGACCACAGGGATGGGAGTCGGTTCTGGGGCTTTTGCTAAAAGAATCAGAACCAGGTTATCTCTGTTCTACAGCGGATGCTAAGCGGCAGCTTCTAAAAGCCATTTGCCACCACGAGGACAGACCATGCCTGAGAACAACACAGAATGGGTAGGAACAGAAACAGATTTCTGGCAGTAGGACCTGGACACCTGGATCCCACTATGTCTGCAACTCACACTCTTGGTTTTTCAATTATAGGAATTAATTCATTCCCTTTTCTTTTCCCTTAACCAGGCTTGAAGTTAACTGGAAGAACTGGAACAGTGCTAACACGCTTGCCTTCCTAGGCTCCTGTACTCACCAACTTGACCTCCTAACTCTCTTAACTTTCTCATGTTCTATGTAGCTCAGCTCTTCAGTTCTGAGCCTGGGCAGTGGGTAGCTCAAAACTCCCGGTTTAAAATAATTTAAGGATTTAGGTATCTGGTTTCTCAGTCATCTGCACCAACAAAATATTTAACATGGCTCAGCATGGGCTCTGACCCATCAGAAATGGACCTCACCCAGGGCAGGATATTCAAGGCCCTGCCTAGGCCAGGGATTGTTCAATTGCTGGACTGTGGGGTGGCGTGGGAGCTGTGGAGAGGGCCCTGGGTATTCTGCTCGGATCTCCCCTCTCTGAGGCTCCAGGAGCCTCAGCCCTTCCTCTCTGAGGCTCTCTGCCCTCCCCATGAGGGCTGGCCCAGAACCCTGAGGCACCGCCACTACAGTTACCTGCCTGGCTTGTCTCTGCAGGCCTGCAGGCGCACCTGCACCTCATCATAGGTCAGGAAGGCCATGTAGCCTGGGTGGTTGATGGCCAGGAGCTGCCAGTTCTTGAGCAGTGTCGGCCATGGCTGGGGGGCAAGGTTGGTGTCAGGGAGAGACCAAGAGGAAGCTCACATTGCTAGTGCCTCCCAGAGGCAAGAATCCAGCCAGATGCTCACAGCCCTAGTGGCTCTGGGGCAATGTCTACATGGAAGTCCCTAGACATTTATATCCCAGGCCCCGTTTCCACCCTCAGCCCCAGGGTCCAGGCCCAGCCTCCTCCCTCAGACCCAGGAATCCAGGCCCAGCCTCTTCCCTCAGTTCCGGGCACTGGGGGCTCTGCCTGCCCTCCCTGACCTGGAAAAGCCTGGTGAAGATGTCAAATTCAAAGATGGATATGTGGCCACTGCAGGTGAGGTCGATGGTGGAGCGCAGGGCCTGAGCAGTGGCCCCAGGTTCCACGGGGTGGCAGGTGCTCAACAGTGACTGGAACTCAGCCCAGGGCAGCACACAGCTGTGGAGTTGGGTGGGGAGAGTTGGCTGAGCCCGGGGGGCCCTTGTGTATCCCCTACACCCCTCGGTACCCTGAACCCCAGGTCCGGGCCACTCACCGGGCACCACAGTGCTCCCTCCAGAAGGCATGAGCTGCGGTCTTGGTGAGCTGGTACCTGTGCCCGCAGTACCTTCCCCCAGGGAAGAGCGCGCCCAGCTCTGCGTGCATGTGGCTGAAGATGAGGGCCAGCTTGGCCAGCTGCCGCCTGCAGGGGTGAGCTCTGAGCACTGGGTTGGACCTTGGGGCTCCCACTGGTGCCCCCCTGGAGTTCCCCCCGACTCTGATACATCAGTGACATATTTGAGTGCATCCTGAAATAGTCTCAGTGCTGAGGCTTGGTCTCTGGACCTCAGTGAAGTGGATCTGTGAAGTGTAGAAGCAGCTGGGGCCCAAATCAGCCTCCAGCAGGTGGAGCCGCTTCCTGCCTGCCGGTCACGGCGCATGCTCAGATGGTCCCCACCTGTGCAGGGGCTGCGCTCAGCCTCCCAGGTTCCTGAGCACCAGGTAGGGGCAGACAGGACCACACTGGCCCTTAGCAGCTCAGTGATTCTTGGCTAATGCCTTTTCTTTCTTTTTCCTAAGTTTGTTTCCTCAACTGTGAAATGGGGATAAGGTCAGCATAAGGACTGTCCCTCCCTCATGGGGGATCGATGAGGATTCTGATGTCTTATGAGCAGGCGGGGTCATAGCACCCTGGGCAGAGCGCTGGGAGAGTACACATCAATTTTATCACGGACATGGTGGTCACGCCTGTAATCTCAGCACTCAGGAGGCTGAGGCAGGAGGATCGCTGAGAGTTTGAGGTCAGCCTGGGCCACATAGGGAGTACAAGGCCAGCCTGCACTACATAGCGAGAGCCTGTCTCAAAAAAAAAAAAAAAAAGAAAAAATCAGCGTGGTTATTTTATGTGAGTAGTTTTACGGATAGTCCATACTGAGAGGTACTGCGAATGTGACAAACTGCTGGGTGCACACGGCGAGTTTGACGCCAGCCTGGGCACCTTTAAGGAGACCCTGTTTCAAAATAAAAAACTAAAGGGCCAGGGATTTAGCTCAGTGGCACCGCAGTGCCTGCCTTGCAAGCCTGAGGTCCTGAGTTCGACCCCTGGTACAAAAAAAAACCCCAAAAAACTAAAATGGGTCAGCCATGTGGCTCAGTAGTAGACTGCTTGCCCAGCTGGCCCAGGTCTCTGGGTTTAATCCCCAGTACTGAGAGAAAGAAAAACTTAAAAAATGAAATGCACACCAGATTACAAGAACCTAGCGCAAAAGAAAAGAATACGAGTTGAAGTAATATTTTGGATAGAGTGAGTTAAAGAAAATGTTATTAAAACTCATTTCACCTGTTTTTTAAAAGATAATTTTCATATGTCTACGAGAAAATTCTAACTACCCGCATGGGTCGGATTAGGTTGTCAGGGACACAGCTGGTCTAGAACCTACTTTGATCAGTTCCAGGCCCCCTGTGACTACAGCGGACCTCCCTCCCCCAGCCCCTAAGTTTCTGGCTTTCTAGAGCCCTCTGGTTCCCAGTGGAATTTTGCCACCTTTCTTAGGAGCTTCTAGAAATTTGCTTGACATGGTGATTAGGACAGGGGGACAGTGCCTTCCAGTGAAGTTTGTCCTGATCCTACCTGACTTTCCAGAGACCCATCTGACACATGTGAAGGCAGAAATTCCATCTATAATTACCTGAGCCCTGAATCTGCTTGCATTTTACACAAGCATTTTTGAACATTTAAATTGATACTGAGTTGGACATGGTGTTGCAAGCCCATAATCCCAATAGTCTGGGAGGCTGAGGCAGGAGGATTGCAAGTGACCCAGCCCGGGCAACTTAGCAAGACCCCGTCTCAAAGTTTAAAAAAGGCTGGGAATGTAGCTCAGGGTGAAGGCCCTGGGTTCAGTCTCCAGTACCAACAAAAGATTGATACTGAATTTTTCAGGAATCAAACACTCCTCTATATTAAGGTAAAACCATTTGATTCCACCTCGTGGCAGTTTTAATGATGGGTGCCAGGGTCTGACTAGTCAATCTGACCTCCCAGGATAATTGTGCCTTGCCAATTTGAAGCAAAATATATATTATGAATAACATTCCTTTGATCATTGTCTTATAATATAATTTGGGCATTATAGTGATTTAAAAAATACAGGCAGACAGGTTGTTAAAGCTGTGTGTTTCACTTCAGGATAAATTGAGGAGAAACCACAAGTATGTGCATGCTCAAGGCTCGTGGAGTCTGGCAGTGCAGGCTTAGACCTCTCTCTGGCTGTGGCTCCAGCCTCCTCTGCCTGTCCCTCAGCTGCCTGTCCTCCGGGTTCAGAGCAGCAGAAAAGACAGAAAAGTCCAAGGTCCTGGGCCAGCTGTTCCTCAGGAACTGAAGACCAGGACGGTAGGTAGCCCAGGCAGGGACCACCAGCCTGGTCTTCAGAGTCTCCAGATGCGACCATCTGTCCTTCTCCACAGGATGCCCAGCGACCCCACATCCCCAGGGCGGTGCATCAAGGGCCCTGGGACCAACTTCACTGTGACCCAGAAAAGGGGAGATGAGGGCTGAGGGTCTGCGGGACCAAGGATGGAAAAAAATATGGGTGGTTCAGTTTTCCTGGGTCTGAGGGAGGAGGCTGGGAGCATGACCGCGGACTCATCCAGGACTTTGTTCTGGGAGGAGGCCGTCCACTCACCTGAGCATGGAGCCCTCCCGGAAGAGCTCTTCGTTGACTCCCCGTCTGCCTCGAGCTGGCAGGAAAGCGGCCACCTGCCTGCCCTTGGCCTCCAGGTTGGCCAGGTACACGTGGAGAAAGTCCCAGGCACCCCCGGGACCCTCGGGGCCGGCGTCGCGTTGGGCTTTGGCCACCTCCCGCAGGAGCTGCGCCGTGCCGGGCAGCAGGTCCTGCAGCGAGGGCGGCCCCATGGCCAGCCGGGGGTCCCCGCACTGCTCCTCCAGGCGCTGCAGCAGCCTCACCGCCCGGCCGAGCGAGCGCTGCTCTCCCCACTGCCACCCTCGCGGGCCGGCGGCTGCCATGGTCCCCGGGTGCCCGGGCACGGACTGGTGCGACGCGAAGGGCGCCGCGGCGGGGGTGGGGCAGGGCGGGACCGCAGGTGAGGGAGCCCTCGGGGGCGGGGCTGGGGGCCGGGCGCCTGGCTTCCTCAGAGGGCGGGTGCGGCGTCTGACTTCTGTGAGAGCAGTTCAGTGGCTTTGGTGCCGGGCGACAGAGGGGACTTCTGATGGGTGGGTTGAAGGTAGGACGCCTGGTTCCTCCGGGGAGGGGTGGGCGCCGGGGCAGGGCCTCGGAGGGCCTCGGGCTCTTGGTAGGTGGAGGCAGGGAGGGCAGGGAGTTGTTCTGGAGCACAGCAGCCCTGGATCAAGGCTGAAAGTCTGCAGTGTTGGTCGTGGCGTGGCACTGAAGGTCAGAGAGCCGAGCTTCCCAGGAGGATTGGTCAGAGGGCGACCCTCAGCAGGAAGGCACAGAGACCGAGGATCCCTGTCTCCCCACAGCGGAGGGGAATGCAGGAAATCAGGCTGGAGTTTAGATGACCCAAGAACAAGAATTTGCAGAGCTGCCTGGGCGTAGTGGCACACGCCTGTAATCCTAGCTGCTCGGGAGGCTGAGACAGGAGGATCAAAATTTCAGGTCAGCCTGGGCAATTTAGCAAAACCTTGTCTCAGAATAAGGGCTGGGAATGCAGCTCAGGGGTAGAACGCCTGCAGGAGGCCTTGGGTTCAGTGGCTGGCACAGCGAAAAAGAACGCACCGGGCTGGCTGGGCGTGGTTTTCACTCCAACCAGCTGAACCTGTGACCGCAATCTGATTCGGCAGAGCTCGGGGCAGCCGCGGGAGGGCGCTGTGGGCCGGGCACGCAGGGCACGCCCCAGAGTGCCAGGCCCCGCCCCCTGCACGAAGGCCACGCCCCAGAAGACGGCTCCAAATTCTGATCTCAAACCCTGCAGTTTCAAACACGAGAATGATAGGAATAGCTATCGGCCGGGCGTTGTGGTGCACGCCTGTAATCCTGGCACTCCAGAGGCTGAGGCAGGAAGATCACTGAGAAATCGAGGTCAGCCTTGACTACATAGTAAGTCAAGGTCAGGCTGAACTACATAGTGAGACCCTGTCTCAAAAAAACAAAACAAGAATACAGTATGTAGCATTTGTTGGACAGTCGCCTTCTATAAACATTTACTCACTGATTTCTCTCTGAGGTGGGAGGGGAGGGGGCTTAGGACCAGAGATGAACGGCCCCATTTTAGAACCCGGGAGTCTCGAACTGGTGGAATCCTCCGTGGTTGGCGGAATCACCTCGCAGCTCCTCGGCTTCCTGATCTCTGAGCCTCGCAGTATCTTCTGCCAGAAAATGGAATGAAAAACCCAAGGGCCTGGCAAAAGTTCAAAATTGTAACTTACGCCAAGTGCGGTGACTGTACGCTTAGGGAGAACTTGGCGCCGCCACTGACCCTTTGGCCAAGTTCGTTGCCAGCTGCCTCCTCCACAGGGCATGAAATCGAGCACAGTCCTCACCTGACTCTGCACATGCATCTTAGTATCCGCTATTTAATTCCATTCATTAACGGAAAAATCACGTTTGCCAGCCACTAAATTGATTTCATAACCCACTAATGGATCCTGGTTGGTCATTTGAAAAATACTGCCGTAAGAAATTCCAACAGACCTAACGAGGGATATTAACTGCAGTCTTGTCGGAAATGGAGAAAAGTGGGAAAAAGTAAGTGTCCCCGGGAGGAGAAAGGAGTGAATTGTGGTGTGAGACTCACCGGGATCCCGCACGGCCCTCGAGATGAATGATGGAGACAAACACCAGCAGCACGAGACCTAAGGCGTAATGAGGCCCACACCGGGTGATGGTATATCCCTCCGCCTCCCCGTCCATGTCCCCGGAAACCTATGAACAGGACCAGTTTGGGAAATGGATGTTCTTTTCTTTCTTTCTTTCTTTCTTTCTTTCTTTCTTTCTTTCTTTCTTTCTTTCTTTCTTTCTTTCTTTCTTTCTTTCTTTCTTTCTTTCTTTCTT